GTCCAAAAATATCTAAATACATACACGAAAATAAAAAAAATAAATTATACATTTCAAATTTCGAAATTAAAACAAAAATTCAAATAATTTGACTTACAATTTTATCATGCAGAACCAACTCGAGATATGATTTGTATGTGCTGACCAGTCTTGGAAAAACATTCTCACAATTCGAACTTTGAGCATAGGTCTATTAGACCTATTGACTTGTTTGATTAACCCAAATCCTTGATTCATTGTTTTGAATAAAAAACTGATTGAGGATATTTTTTGTTCGCAGAAGGTTGATAGTGAGGAAGATGATGACTCGATATTTTGAGATTTGTAATTTATAATGAGTAGAGTAGATATATATTGTTTTTAATATTTTTATTAGAAAATCTGAATTTGAATATACAGAAATCGATTTGAACAAAATCAGAACTGATTTCTATACAATTAGATAATAAATAAAGCATTTTTATTTTAGTAAAAATTTTACGTACTTTTTTTACTTACTGGATGTTATGGGGTTTTTTTGTGTTAAACCGATTGTATAGGATATAATACAAATACAATTACAGAATTGAACAAAATTAGAATAGATTTCCATACAATTAGATAATAAAAAGGAATTAGATAAAGAAAAGAAGGAATTAAATAAGGAATTTTGAATCTGCCTTTTTTAGTATAGATAGACTTTATGTACAAATTTTGACTTCACCGATTTTATGGGATTTGTTTTGACAAAATCGATGTTAATATGGAATAAGACAAATAAATAAAGCCTTTTTTAATTTAGTAAATATTTTACGCCTTTTTTTTTACTTATCAGATGTTATGAGATTTTTTTTCTTAAACTGATTTTATGGGATATAAGACAAATAAATAAAATAATTAAATAAAATTATGGATAGAAATAACAATGCATTAATTACGTTTACTTTTTAACCTACTAAATTTGGTAAATAGGATAACTTATTGTATAAATATAGATTTTGATTGTTTTTGCTCACCCGACTTTATCGAATTTTTTATGTCAAGATAAGAAAGATTAAAAATTAGAAGTTCGGCATAAATTTATAAGAATGGTTTTTTTTATGGGATTTACGTACATAATTTTTTATGTTAAGATTTATAAGAAGGATTTTTTATGTCAGCATAAATTATAAATGCATTAATTACTGCTTGATAAAATTAGAATTTCATTAATTAAGTTTGACTTTTCTACCCACTATATTTAATAAATAAGATCCCCTTTAATATAAGTATAGATTTTATTTTACCTTTTGAAAGTTTTATTTTTGTATTGTGATTTTTATAGGATACCCGCATAAATGAATTAATTTGTGGGGTTAGCATAGTGACAAGTTTGAAGATGAGTTAAAATATGTCGTTTTACCATTTAGAAAGTAATATTGGTAAATACGACCTACCATCCAAAAGTTCTATTATTGGGAAAATCAAGGTGTTGGAGTATTCTACCGATTTTCTAACGTTTTATTTTGACTTCCGTAATTTTGATACCTCACAAGATGTTGACTATGCAGCTTTTCAAAAGTAAATGGTCGTATTTTCTAATTTTACTAGTACGTGGCCCGTGCGATGCACGGAAACAATATTACGATTGTGTTATAAATTAAATATACAAATAAATTAATCAAGATTTACCCATCGTTATAAAATTAAACCGTGTTGGACACAGTCCAACGATATGGACCGAGAACCAGTTTATAATCAGTCTAGTTCACCTGAATAAAATATTTGCTATTGAATCCGTCAACACCAGTCAGTTGAACTGGTAGGATCAATACAATTTTCAAAATAAATTTTGCTATATTTAAAAATATTTTAAATAAAATTAAATAAAATAGAGATTTATAAATTGTTTATCAATTAATTTAAACATTTGAATTTTTAAGTTGTTTAGATATTTAAGTAACACATTTTATTCAAATTTATTACAAAAAGTACCATATATATATTAAAGCGTATTTTTAAAGAAAACAATAAATTGTATAATTATTATAAATTAAATTGTATGATTGAATTGTATAATTATATTAAAGCATATTTATAAATTAAATTGTATGATTTTTAAATAAAAAATAAGAAAAATAATAAAACTACTATTTATGGGTTGCATTAAATGCTGACTTATTTTTTTTGTTACTAATTTTAATAAATAAGATAGCTTTTTATATAAGTATAGATTGGAAATATACAGACATACATATAGTTGTGTTTTATTCTAAACTTCTCTACATTTATAGTTAACATATATCTCATCATTTAATATTATACTCATGATTGAATATTATTTCTGCA